CTCCCTCCTCGCTAGCTTTCCCGCTCCCTCCTCGCTGCTCGCTCCCTTCTCGTTGCTTGCTCCCTCCTCGCTCGCTTGCTTTTGCGCTCCCTCCTCGCTCACTTTCCCGCTCCCTCGTCGCTCCCTCCTCGCTCGCTTTCCCGCTCGCCCGCTCACTTTCCCGGTCGCTCGACGGACTCGGACCGAGGGTCGGACGCAGACATAGTGGCAAGGCACAAAGTCGAAGTCTTGGATTCCGAATGCCGAAACAGTATGTCACACTTAGTACGAGTACAGCAGCAGAAAACTGGTATGAGACTTGTCCCCGTACCGTACGGGGAGCCGGTATAAGTACCGGTGACACGTACAGTACCAGGGGCATGTCTGAAAAGGCCCCGAGGGCAGAACTGAAAAATGTGGTATTTGAAAGTGGTGCCCGAATTGCAGCATGGCGCCCGTTGTCCAAAATCCTACGGTACCAAAGGGGGGGTTTGGAAAAGGGGTGACGAGATTCAACCAAAACAGCAAAAAGATAGACCAGGGATTGAGCCCTGGCGGCGTCCGTAACAGGCCTACTCTGTCGGTCGGTCCGTCACCCAATTTGCGGGTCCACCCGCTGGCCAGTCGGTCGGGCCTCGCCACTCCAACCGCCCTGCCAGGGCGCTACGAGGCAGGGGGGAAAATTGGTGGAACGCGGGGGGAACACGGGGGGAACGCGGGGGGAAAGGAAGGGGGGAAGAAAGACGGGAAGACCCAAGAGCTTAGCTCAGTGGGTATACCACCCGTGTTCGAACCCAGATGCTGGAATTTGATGAGGAAAACCAAATTTTTTTTTTTCTTTTTTTTCTAAACCACAAGTACTTGGCCCAGCTATCGCCCGGAGTAACCCTGGGGCCTCGTCACCTCAATAGTGTTATCTCAAGACCGTCACCCTTTTTGAAAATAGAGAAAAAAAGAAAAACAAAAAGAAGAGGGGGACAAAGGCGGGGACGCAGACTGGCTGGAATTTGGGACGGGAGGGAGGGAGAAGGTGCGGGGAATGTGGGAAGGAGGAGAAGATGGCAGGAAGAAGAAGATGGCAAGTAGGAAAAGGAGAGGGGAAGCGGAGGAGTACGATGGTAAGGAGCTGGACTAGTAGGAGAAGGAGAGGGGAAGAGGAGTAAGAAGATGA